AAATTTACGGCTACGGTTTCAAGTCAGGCATGCGGAGTTGCGCGCAACTGGCAGTGTCTACAAGACAGAGCTTTGCAGAGCTTGGGCAACAGGCACCTGCAAGGCGAAGATCCGCGCCGCCAGGGGTCACAATTCTTGCTTAGTGTGCTTTGGCTGTACTCCTCTGGGTACAAGGATCGGAATAACCCTCAGGGCCTTAAAAGCTTGCCAGTCTGCCCGCGCAAATTTTTGCCTGCTGCAGCAGATCTGACTGACTGTCGTGTATCGCCCGGGTAGTCTCCCTGTCCTGCAGGCTGGCGATACTTGCCGCTACGCGCATGGAGTCAAGGAGTTGAGGGGCAACGGCATGTCGTCCATGACGGCGAATGCAATGCCCTCGCCTGATCCATCACCGCGGCCCTGACCTGCCACTTTATTAGCCCTGCCTGCACTTGCAAGGGGATACATGGGCTACCCCATGGAGGAGGGCTACATGACCATAGATGGAGTGCAGATGGGTGTTGCCCTTGATGGTCATGTTGTTCAGGCACTGACTGTCCTATGCCATACAGCTGTTGGTACTCTTTGTCAAAACGGGCCCACAGATGTTCAGGTGGCAGGGAGCTTCTTTCATCGTCCGCGTATCTTGCTACTGATCATGACGATTGTTTCCGAGGACTCCCGTGACCACTGCGCTTCTATGCCGCCTCCGCCGCTGCTACTGCTTGTGCTGCTGCTGCTGCTGCTGCTGCTGCTGCTGCTGCTGGTGTTTTTGTTTGCTGCCACCGCGCTCAGATGCAGCACCAAACTGGGGGAAGCAAAACCAACCGAGAAAAGCTGTGACTGGCTGTCATGTGGGGTGACGCATGTGACGCATTGATGCATTTCTAACGAAGGCAGAACCCCGCAAGGGACGTGTGCTTTTTAACTCAGACGCTAAAGGCGCGGTGATATATAAGGTGGAACGTGTGCTTACCTGTGCCCTACACGCTTGCCTTTCTGAAGGTAGAACTCCTGAATGTAGCCTGTAATGGAAACAGCTGGTGGAGCCATGATCTGTTTAGATACATCACAAAAAGAAAGCTGGATGATAGCAAAATGTAGCAAATTGGGGGGGATCGACAGACATGTAGAGCGAAACCCGTTGCCGGGGCGCGTCATGGCAGCAAACTCCGCTGTACAAGGTATCTCAACGGAAAGGATGGCAAAGATCAGCAGCAAGGCTTCAAAAAGGATCAGAGAGCAACAGAAGCATAGCAGCGATTCCAGATATGAAGGCGCACTTCCGGTACTGGTAACATGACCGGAGCGACGAAACAATTGCTTAGTCCTCATAGGTCGGCTTGAGAACGTTCACCAGTCTTCAAGAAGAAGCTTTGCCTATGGGTCATGGTGTCTGAAAACGGAGCTTTGGCTGTGGGTCACAGTGTCTGAAAACGGACTACTCATGCAGCATTGTCAGTGCCAGGATATCTGCAGTAATCGGGCACCTGTTTCCCAGCGTCTGCCTTATTCTCGCCCAGGCTGCGATGTAATGGGCGGCCTTACTGGTATCTGGGAAAACGAAGCAGTTGACACCTCAGCGGCTGTTCAGCGGACTGATGATGTTGTCAACGTGATGACACATGCTACCGGACTAGGCGGCCATTCAGCACTACTCGAACTTCGGGCGGGCGCAATCAGCCGGCGCAGTCCCCTCTGAGTCCACAGGACTCACGGGACGGTCTGGCAGAGTTGGTGGGTTCTTGTGGCAAGGGTGCTCGGCAGGAGACCGACGAGAGCAGCGAAGTAGATCGTTCGTCGGCCAGCCACAGGCTGGACATGCCAAAGCTTCCGGATGCCTTGTGAGATTTTGTTTGGGGGTGTTGGAAACACCCTGCGGCGACCGCTGCCGGAAAGGATGGCACGTCAGAGCCGTTCAACGATGCCATGAGCGACATGGGCTTCTCAGACACCTCCACGCTTTGCATGGGGGAACCTAGTCTGACTAGAACATGCAACCCTTTTGGCAAACGGGTCCAGGTCTGTCAAACACATGTCGCACCTCCTTTCAGTGGATCGGAAGAGATGTAAGGATGGCAGATTAAGTCGGCAGCAAACGGCTCCTCC